TTGCCCCCCTGTTAGTACTGATCTCTCTGAGGAAAGTCACAGGATTGCCAGAACCAGCAATAAACGTCTGGTGAAGCCCTGAGACACCCTCTTCTCCTGGCCTTACCTCCTGATTAAATGAGCACTACCCTATGGATGTGGGCTCACCCTGGAGTGGAGATCAGGGGAAGCCCTCGAACTGTTCAGCTCACTCCCCAAAACCTCCAGACCAAGGGGGCTGTCCCCAGGTATGTACCCCTTGGCTACATCAGATGCACCTGAAGGAGAGAGAGAGAATGCTGGATTTACTGTCCTGCCTGGGAGGCTTAGGAGTGGGTGATTCTGGTGCTGAAGAGGTGGCTCTGGAGAGTTTGAGCTCATTCCTTCCCCTCCATCTGTTAGTATACTTCTGCTTCTGTTGAGAGAAAACTTAGTTCTTCCTTTGCGCTAGTTTTCCCTTGATGGACATGCCTACATAACTTCCACACCAACTATCTGCAAAGATCTGCACACAAACGGAGTGGGGGAGACAGATCCCAGACAGATAAACCACCATAAAAATTAACCAGCAGCTTCTGGGCAACCAGAGCTCTGAAAGACAGAACGATTTCCCCCCCACAACCCACTTCTCCCCACGCTCAGCACCCTTGCTTTGGCAAGGGTGGTATTTCCCTTTACTGTTCCCAGCTTGGGCCCTACAGTGCAGTGCTAACCAGGTCAGTGGCCTTCTCACTTTCCATTCTGCAGGCCTACCCCTTTGAGAGTGGGTGAGAGAAACACACTCCCATAACCTCGTCCCCATCCCAGTTCTCCATCCCCAATTCTGCTTCATGCCAGATGGGGTCTTCCTAGGAACCTCCAAGGATTGCTCTGCAGCCATCATTCCCCTCACATCCTCCGTGTGCACAGCAGTGTTGTGAAAGCCACTGAGGACCTACTGGTATCTCTGGTGACAGGTACATCTGTCAGGAAAGAGGTGGCATGCTGGAACTGGCCAGGGTCACCAAAGACTGTTTTAGACCTCTTCCTTCTAAGTGCTGGCACCAAAGTTAGCAAACTCTTCCCATACCACGCTTCAGGCCAGACCTGCCAAGTTTGGTGCTGAAATGACCTCATCTCAAGCCTGTGCCATCCTCTTTAGCACCCAGACACCCATTTCTGACCCTTTTTCCTCCCCAGCAAAAGCCCTGCTGAAAGGCTCCAGTGTCTCCTCGTTCCATTCCCTCAGCTGCCATTTGATGGAAGGGCAATGTGGGACATGAGTGTGGGAGATCTGGGATGTGGCCGGTTGCCCCGTGTTTGTACCTGTGCACCACAGCAGGTCTCACAGCAGGCTCATCTTTGGCTTGTTTCTCTTCTGGACTCTGCACTGCCCCAGCCTCTCCTCTCCCCCCAGGCTGTGAGTGGAGAGGGCTCCCGGGAGAAGAAGGATGGGATGGCTCTTGCTCAAGGACTGGGAGAAGTGAGTGAAGAGCCCTCACATCCCTCTTTTCTCCCTTTTAAAACCAGTTTTGCCCCCTGAAGCCATTTAGGACAAATTTGGACACAACTAGCTGCAACCAATGCGTGCCCAGTGGGGTGAGGA